TGATTTCCTTGTTGCTGTCTCTGATGATCCCTCCTCCTGCTACGCTGAGTGTTTGATCTGCTCTGTTGATGAGTACATCGGAGACATTGCTGTTTCTTCTACGACGAATGTTTGATCTGCTCTGTTGATGAGTTTATAAACTTTTATCGGCGCTGCCGAGACGGACCATCTCTTTAATTACTCCTACAGTTTCCTTACTTCCAAGTTAAGCATTAAAGACTTTTTACTTGCATTTGGGTTCCACGTCTTGTTTTTTTAATTGTCACAGAACGAACTGACCAAACATGGACCCAGCAAGTGTGGCGGAGATACAGGATGTGCTGTCACGCAGTGTCGCCCGGATGGATCACCAGGAGCAACAAATGAAGGTGACCAGTCAGGCTATACAAGCACTGGTAAATCAGGTGTCCGAGCTGACAACACAAGTCCAGAGACTTAGCTCGGGTCTCAGCGCCGGTTCCACCCTACCGGCTCCCTCCGTCAAACCACCAGTCACTCCGGTTGCCAATGAGATTCCCCGAACCGCCGAACCGCAACTGCCTCCACCACAGTCCTATGCAGGTGAACCCCAACTTTGCAGAGCGTTTATCGCCAAGTGTTCTCTGTACATCTCACTGCAACCATCGTCTTTTCCCACCTAGGAGAGCAAGGTGGCGTTTTTAATCAACCTTTTGACTGGTAAGGCGGCATTATGGGGAACCACGGCGTGGGAGAGGAAACTGCCCTGCTGTCATACATTCAAGTCCTTTACAGAGGAGCTCAAGACCATTTTCGATCAGGCTGCTTCATGAAGAGAGGCATCTAGACGTCTCGCGGAGCTCCGTCAGGGAGATCACACGGTGGCGGAGTATTCTATCGATTTCCGCACCCTGGCGGCTGAGTGTGGTTGGAACAGTGAAGCTCAGTGGGACATGTTCTTTCACGGACTCGCGGATCATATAAAAGATGAGATTTACGCTTTGGAGCTACCCAAGATGTTGGACGGTCTCATCAGCCTGGCCATAAGGGTGGACAACTGTATGCAGCGCAGAGGTATGCACAGGGAGTTTCGCTCACAGACCTGTTTTCCGGAGGCTTCACTCCCCGATCCGGAACCCAAGCCCATGCAGGTGGGAAAGTTCCGCCTCTCATCGGAGGAGAGACGATACCGTCGCACGGGGGGCTTGTGCATGTACTGTGGGGTTGCTGGTCATTATGCGGCTTTATGTCCGGCCAAGAACAATAAATCATCCGCTGGTAAGAGTCTTTTGGTGGGTGAGGTCATGACAGTGAAGGACTCTCCCGATTCCACTTTCCTGCCCATTAAATTGGAATTCAATTCGAACTTTCATTCCTGTCATGCGCTCATTGATTCAGGAGCGGAGGGGAGTTTTATTGACTCTGATTTAGCTAAAAAGTTAAAAATTCCCTGTTTTCCCCTTTCTTCACCCATAGCTGTTCACGCACTTAGCGGTCTACCTCTCCCAACTATCACACATATTACAGCTCCTATTAGGCTCATCACTTCAGGAAACCATACTGAGACTATTACCTTCTTTCTCACTAACACTGTCAAAAACCCTGTTATTCTGGGACACCCGTGGTTGGTGTTACACAAGCCTCACATTAATTGAGGTCACAACACAGTTTTTTTCTGGGGTGAGAGCTGTCATAAGTCTTGTTTATTGTCTGCATGTTCCACTGTGTCTTGTTCTGTGTTACAGGAGGAGCAGGTGGATCTGTCAAACGTGCCTCGTGAGTACCACGACCTGAAGAGAGTGTTCAGTAAGTCCCGGACTGCTTCTCTACCTCCTCATCGTCCCTATGACTGTGCTATAGACTTACTGCCAGGTACGTCTCCGCCTAAAGGCAAGTTATATTCGCTGTCTGTTCCAGAGAGGGAGGCCATGGAGAAATATATTTCTGATTCTTTAGCAGCCAAGATCATCCGCCCGTCTTCTTCACCGGCAGGGGCGGGATTTTTTTTTGTGAAAAAGAAGGATGGTTCCCTTCGTCCGTGCATAGACTATCGAGGGCTGAACAGCATCACGGTTAAGAATACTTATCCTTTGCCGCTGATGTCTTCAGCCTTCGAGCGCCTGCAGGGGGCGAACTTTTTCACAAAATTAGATCTCCGCAATGCTTATCATTTGGTTCGCATAAGACCCGGGGATGAGTGGAAAACAGCTTTTAACACCCCTAGAGGGCATTTTGAGTACTGCGTTCTGCCCTTCGGCCTTTCCAACGCTCCAGCTGTTTTCCAGGCACTCGTCAATGACGTGTTGAGAGACATGATAGATCAGTTTATTTATGTCTACCTGGATGACATTCTGATTTTTTCTCACTCTCTCCAGGAACATATTCAACATGTCAGGTGAGTGTTGCAGAGGTTGCTAGAGAATGGGCTTTATGTCAAGGCGGAGAAATGCGTTTTTTATGCACAGTCGGTTCAGTTCTTGGGACATATCGTGTCAGTCGAGGGGATGCGCATGGATCCAGAGAAGATTCAGGCTGTGGTAGATTGGCCAACCCCAGATTCCCGTAAGGCCCTGCAGAGGTTTCTGGGTTTTGCCAATTTTTACCGGCGTTTTATTCGCAATTTCAGCCAGCTCGCCGCACCTCTGACTTCCTTGACCTCCTCCAAGATGCCGTTCAGGTGGTCCAGCGCAGCCGAAGCTGCCTTTTCCAAACTAAAGAGCTGCTTTGTTTCAGCTCCGATACTCATTGCCCCTGATCCTTCGCGGCAGTTTGTGGTGGAGGTCGATGCGTCGGAGGTGGGGGTCGGCGCCATTCTGTCCCAGCGCTCCGCCTCGGATGGCAAGGTCCATCCTTGCGCGTATTTTTCTCATCGATTATCTCCTGCTGAAAGAAACTACGACATTGGTAATCGAGAGTTGTTGGCCGTCAAGCTTGCTTTGGAGAAGTGGCGTCACTGGTTAGAAGGCTCGGGGGTGCCTTTTATCGTCTGGACCGATCATAAAAATCTTGAATATATTAGATCTGCTAAAAGATTGAACTCCAGGCAGGCTCGGTGGGCATTATTTTTCGGACGGTTTAATTTTACCATCTCGTATAGACCAGGTTCCAAGAACATCAAACCTGATGCGTTGTCACGTCTTTTCGATCCTTCGGATCGCAAGTCATCTCCTGATCCTGTGCTCCCTCAGAACATCATCATAGTGAACATTTCCTGGGAGATTGAGTCGAGGGTCCGTGCAGCCCTGGATGGGGTAACGCCCCCGATCGGATGCCCACCGAGTTGTTTGTTCGTGCCAGAGGGATTACGGTCCGACGTTGTCCGGTGGGGTCATTCCTCCAAGGAAGCTTGTCACCCAGGGGTGAGTCGCACATTATTTGTTATCAAACAACGATTTTGGTGGCCAGCTATGGCTTGTGATGTGCGCGATTTTGTTTTGGCTTGCTCTGTCTGTGCAGTTTCCAAGGCTTCCAATCGTCCCCCTGCTGGACTCCTCCAATCGCTGTCAGTGCCTTCGAGACCCTGGTCACACATTTCGCTAGATTTTGTTACGGGTCTTCCATCCTCTAACGGTAACACGGTAGTTTTAACCATGGTGGACAGGTTCTCGAAGGCTGCTCATTTTATCTCTCTGCCCAAACAGTTCGTCTCTAAATTCTGGAGAGAATTCTGTCGTTTATTGGGGGCCACTGTTAGTCTTTCTTCTGGTTTTCATCCCCAGAGTAACGGCCAGACTGAGAGAGCCAATCAAGATCTTGAGCGTACATTGCGATGTTTGGTCTCGCAGAATCCTTCCTCCTGGAGCCAACAACTTTCGTGGGTGGAGTACGCACATAATTCGTTACCAGTGTCAGCCACGGGCCTTTCTCCGTTTCAGTGTAGTCTAGGTTACCAGCCACCAGTTTTTCCCAGTCTGGTATCCGAAGTTGCGGTTCCCTCCGTTCACGCCTTTTTCCAGAGGTGCCACCGCACTTGGAATAGGGCCAGACAGACCCTCCTCCAAGTGGGGAAGCGCACCAAGGCTAAAGCCAATCGCCACCGGTCTAAGCCTCTCGTTTACGTTGTCGGTCAAAAAGTGTGGCTTTCTACTAAGAACATTCCGCTCCGCACCATCTGTAATAAGTTAGCTCCTAAATTTATCGGCCCTTTTATTGTCACTAGAATCATTAGTCCTGTGGCAATAATCCGCCTCAAATTACCTCCAGCGTACAGGAGAATTCATCCCGTGTTCCATGTATCCAAAGTAAAGCCCGTTTTTCATACGGCAATTAATCCGCCCACACCAGTTAACCATCCCCCACCCACCCCCCCAAGTTTAGTTTAGTAAAATCTATCTATCTATCTATCTATCTATCTATCTATCTATCTATCTATCTATCTATCTATCTATCTATCTATCTATCTATCTATCTATCTATCTATCTATCTGAAGAAGATACCCGACCATCACCTAGTCAGTTAAAGTTAAAATATTTAACTTTAAATGTTTTATAAAGTTGATTTGATTTAACTTAAAATGTAAAACAGTACCTAATTTATTATGATCCACTTGTCATTACTGACGTGTTTCCCTGTTCCTCCACATACCCCAAGCCAATCTGCCAAAGAGAAAGATATCAAGTCTTTAACTGATCTTAATACATTTCTTTGGAAACTAACTCCATTGTTCAGTCAGTTTAAGCAGTTCTACCTGTTTGCTGAGCTCCAGGTCTTCCAGTATATCTCCACTGTTCCTCTTATAAGTCTCAGTGGTGTTACTAAACATAAAGCTCTCTTCGGGCACGGGCCCCCGTCAAACGCATGCAACACCCCCCATCCCCCCAAAAACGATTTACCGATATATAAATAGCTAAACTGAAAATTATTAATGATGGCACGTGCTCTTGTAAATAGGGATGCTCTTGTGAGTCTCCCTTTTCTGCCTATTGTGTGTTCAATACCTGCAATTTAATTACCTACTAAAAAGAAGACATCTATCTAACAATCTATGCCCACCTCCACCCCCTTCCTCTAGGAAGGACATCTACGTACAATCTATGCCCACCTCCACGCCCTTCCTCTAGGAAGGACATCTACGTATCTACGACATCTACCATCCGACCAGCCATCCATCATTCATTAATCTATCCATCCATCCATCAATCTGAAAAATACCCAACCAGACCATCAGTTTGCAGTCATTGCTGAGGTGTGATTCCCATTTCTCCACATGCCCCAGTCTAATCTGCAAAAGACAAAAACAAGACTAATAAAGCTCTATTTGCTGGCTGATCTCCAGCAATAAACCAATTGTTCTCCAGTGTTCTTCAGATACATATTCACCATTCTGCTTGTGAGTCTCCTTCTTCTGCCTGTTGTTGTTCCATTACCTACAATGTAAATAACAGCCACAGACAAGACATTTATCCAACCATCTATGCCCACCACCACCCCCTTCCTCCTGGAAGGACATCCATCCATGCACCCATCCTTCTGCCTTTGAAGGATATTCCTGACCATCAGTGTCCAGTCATTGCTGAGGTGTGAATTCCTACTTTACTCCACATGCTGCACTCCTGTCTGTAATAGAAAAAGACATGACTAACAGAGCTCTACATACTTGATGAGCTCCAGAAATGCACAAGCTGTTATCCAGTGTTCATCAGGTAAATCTCCACAGATGCTCTTGTGAGTTTCCTTTTCTGCCTGTTGTTTGTCCATTACCTGAAAAAGAAACACTTGCTAACAAGACATCTAGACAGACATCTGTCTGAAGAAGATACCTGACCATCACTTAGTCTATAAAAATGAAAGTATATCATTTGAATTGTTTTATAAAGTTGATTTGATTGAATTTAAAAATGTAAAACAGTACCTAATTTATCATGATGTACTTGTCATTACTGACGTGTTTCTCTTTTCCTTCACATGCTCCATGCCAATCTGCCAAAGAGAAAGATATCAGGTCTTTAATTAATCTCAGAACATTTCTTTCGAAAACTAACTCCATTGTTCAGTCTGTTCAAGCAGTTCTACCCTCTGCCTGAGCTCCAGGTCTTCTAGTATATCTCCACCGTTCCCCTTGTGAGTCTCATTCTGCTCCACTCCAACCTGCAAAAGACAAAGACAGCCCTAACAAAGCCCTACGTGCTGTTCTTCACCGATGTCCTTGTGAGTCTCCTTCTTCTGCCTGCTTCTGCCTCTAAAACCTGAAAAAAAGAACTCTGACACAGACAAAGCCTAATTACTATCTATACCAACCACCACTCCATCTTGGAAGGCCGTCCATCGAGTCACACGTCAATCAGATGTATATATTTTTTTTTTTTAAAAAATCCCTGACCATCAATTTCCAGTCATTGCTGAGGTCTGTGATTCCCTTTTTGCCTCCATGAGGTCCATTCCAATCTGCAAAATACAATAGAAAGATTTCAGTTCATTAATTAATCTTAATATCATTTCTTGGAAGTTTCATCTATCATTGACTACATTTACATGGACATCAGTAAACAAATTATTTGCCTTAATCTAATTAAGACAATACTAAGATTAAGGCGTTTACATGAGTTGCTTTTTGAATGTTTCTTTCATGATCGCATTTTACATGTTATAGCACATACTTAGATTAACGTCATTGCGTCACTGCGCTATTTGCATTACCTCCTAAGTTTCATGTAATTTTGGGTGTTTCATTATTAATTTGTCAACTTTAACTGCGGTTTGGCACTTTCACTTTAATTCGGGCATGCCCCCCGTGACAAACGAGATATTGGATGCAACTATGAACTGCTGGAAGAGTTGTTAAATGGAAGTGAATACCGCAGGCTGAATGGAAGAAAAAAAAGCTCCACATTTCACGAGGCAGGTGTCTGTGGTTTCCACTGACTCTGTAAGTGCAAAGAGTGTCCAACAGCCATGTGTGTGGACTATCCTGTCGCAAAATGCTGCAAAAAGCCCTACATGATGGTAATATGTCGATTAAGGTGTTTACATGTCTGTAATGCACCTGTCACTGTAATAATACCTGTCATAAGAATAAACACATTCACCATAGGGAAGGCAGCATAATCACTCTCGTAGTAGAATTTTGCTTTCATAATCCAAAATAAAGTAATCAAACTTAAGTGCCTGATAGCTGCATCCCTTCAGCTACGTGATCAAAACTGCGACTGTTGAATGTGTGAAGTGTCCAACAGTCCACAATTCTTTTTAACAATTAAATAAGTGCATCATCTGAAAGTTTAAAGTGCACTTAATCTTTTTGTGAGCGTACTACTTACACTATATATATTTACACTACAAACTGGCAAAGACTAGCGTATAATTACAGAAAGCACCTATGGACAGCACTGACAGAGCCATACCTGCTGTTCTCCAGCATTTTTTAGATACATGTCCACCAATGCTTTTGTGAGTCTCCCTCTTCTGCCTGCTCCATTATTTGAAAAAGAAAAACCTGACACAGACAAGGCCTAATTACTATCTACACCAACCAACATGCCTTTATCTTGGAAGGATGTCCATCGACTCACCTGTCCATCTGATGTTATAAAAATAATTCCCTGACCATCCAGTCCTTGCTGAGGTGTGTGATTCCCTTTTTTTTCTCCATGTGGTCCCTTCCGATCATTCTGAAAGCTGACAGCACACAAATAAAAAAAAGATTAATTTATCTGATGGGATAACAAATGACAGTCTCATAAATCAGATAGCAAAATACAAATGAAGCTTACAAACAAACAAAAATTTTATATCTCTGTCTATCTGAAGAAATAGTCAACCATCACTTACTGTCACAGTAAGACCAGGTTCTCCACCCACTGAAGCACCATGAGCACCCTCACCTGAGTCTAATCAGACACACATCTGACAATCATCACCATCATCATCACAGCACTATAAAGACTCCACTCAGATTCCCTCATTGTTTGGCCTCTTTGGTTGTACAGAATAGACAGAACTCCCTATACACAGTGGATTTTTCGATATCAGTTTACATACCTATCCAGTGTTCTCCAATTCTCTCCTAGTGTGGAGTCTCCTGGTTTCTCATCTGGTCTTCGTCCTGTTTGCCGTCTGTGGTATCTGTCTCCAGTCTCAAAGCCTGCAGTCATATCTAGTTTATGTTCATGGACTTATCATCTACATCAATGTACTCACCTGTGTATACTCACCTGCCATTCTGTAAATAAACTGTTTATCATTCACTTGAATCCTGGCCCTTCTGTGACACTGTAAAAATTAAATTGTATAATTAGATTGTTTTATTTAAGTTGACTTTATTTAACTTAATGTAAGGATGTACCTAATGTATTCCGATGCACTTGTTATTATTGACCATGTTCCTGCACATGCTCTATGCCAATCTGCCAAAGAGAAAGATATAAAGTCTTTAGTTAGATAACTCTATTGTTCAGTCTGTTCAAGCAGTTGTACCTGCTTGCTGAGTTCCAGGTCTTCAAGCATATCTCCACCGTTTCTCTTGTGAGTCTCCTCCTTCTGCTCCTCTCCAGTCTGAAAATAAACAAAGACTGCCCCAACAAAACCCTACGCGCTGGGGTCCGTTCTTCGTACCTCGCTTAAATGATCCAAGATGATTTGGCAGATTCTGGATCGTTTAATCTTGATAACTGATCTCTCGCTAATTTGGTTCTTCAAACAAGTTCGCGAATCAGATTAGAATGTCTGGATAAACTGATCTGAGATCGCTGCGTGTGTTGTGAAGTACAGATCTATCGATCCTCGAAATCATGATCAGCAGTGCACCCTACGTGCTGGGGTCCGTTCTTCGTACCTCGCTTAAATGATCCAAGATGATTTGGCAGATTCTGGATCGTTTAATCTTGATAACTGATCTCTCGCTAATTTGGTTCTTCAAACAAGTTCGCGAATCAGATTAGAATGTCTGGATAAACTGATCTGAGATCGCTGCGTGTATTGTGAAGGACAGATCTATCGATCCTCGAAATCATGATCAGCAATGCAACGATTGGCTGACGGCACAGCAGCATAATGACATAATTTGATTAATATTCAATTATCCATGTGAGCAAAATTACATCAAATTAGCAGTAAACGGCTTGTTAAATATGACACGCAATAACCTTCCACATTTGTTGTGAGCAGCAGGCTTTACACTTTCATGTGTCAAGAGTATTCATCATGTATTTCAATGCAAATCAATGTATTTAGTTCTACATTAAGAAAAAGATTTTCTTTATTATTGAAGCCGTTTTTTTAATCGGTGTAAAGAATAACTGGTTGTTTACAAAAGCATTTTCATATTGGTAAAGGTGTCTGCAACTTTGTGAAGCATCAAATCACTGGCATATTAACTATCAAAACATGTTTTGATAAAAGTCACATATTGTGCATTTCTATTATACACAATTTATACTAAAGCAATCTAAAAAGTTCATATAAATAAGTTTTCTCTATGCACCAGCAGGTGGCAGTCTTTGTACTTTCATTTCGAGGGTGCAGAGTGCATAAGTTTTATTAAAATGTATAACTTTATTTCATTAATAACTATAACTTTATATATATAGTTAAAATATGTACCATTTTCCTAAGTGTATATAACTACTACTGTAAGAAAATATAAGAATTTGGAACATACTTGAACATTGCATGAACTGAGCCGATCTAATCCTGTTTATATGAGTTGAACCTGCTCCCGATCAGGTTTGACCTAGCAGAACTGTTGCTATGACAACAACTCTCGGATCAGCTTTGAAGAACGAAACGATCCTGGATCGTGTCAAATCGTCAATATCCGAATCCAGCTAATTGAGTGATCCACGTACGAAGAACGGACCCCTGTTCTTTAGAATTTGTTAGATACATGTTCACCGATTCTCTTGTGAGTCTGCCTGCTCTCCGTTAGCTGAAAAAGGAAAAACCTGACACAGACGACGCCTATCTATCTATACCAGTGGTTCTCAAAGTGGGCTTCCTTCTAGTGGTACGCGGAGGAATCACTGAATAATTAAAAATATATGAACACTCTTTTACCCTTTGACGTTTACGATAACACCCATGTGTGATTAGTATGTTTAGTGAATTATCTTTTGTTTGAGACCTGACTGTGATGGCTGAGAAATATAATTGTATTAAATCTAACTTCCCTGACTAATCTCTCCTTTGTGCTTCATACACAAAATCCAAGTTCAAATATCATCATCAAATTACTGAAACAGTAGTTTTGCTGACTTGCAAAACTTACTGACTGCTGACAACACTGCATTAAAAGCTAACTATCTAAGCCCACCACCACCCCCTTCCTTTTGGAAGGACATTACTGAATAATAATTGATATGAACACTTTTACTATTTGACGTGTACGATAACACTGATGCGTGATTAGTATGTTTAGTGCATCACATCATCAGATGCTAAGAATTAAAAATATTGTGGAGCTCTCGAGCAGATACGCACTAGAAAAGTGCTTTTGCAGACCAGTCCTGCTAGCATTTCAGTTACTGCAAACTCAGGAATTTTCCATGCTTCATCATAGGTAAAAAAATTATCACAAACTTGTTAATGTGTTTGAGTTGTGTACAGTAATGCGTGTTTTCGATATATAGCATAAAGTCATTAGTTTTTTGTAAATAGCCTAGCGGTGTGGCTTTTAATTTAGTTAGTTGCCTCAGATTTCATTTCTCCTTACATTTCTCACAACACTATTTACATTTGCACAACAGTTAAAGCATTTCTCAAAACAATCAGTACAAACTGCAAAATCATGCCAATAACCTGCAAAAGTGTGTCACTTGCTCAAAATGGATAGCTCATTCCTCAAAAGTAAGTATTGATGTCAATGAAAGTGTCAGTGTCATCAAGATGAAAAGTCCAGACACCATTGTTTATGAACAAGATAGTCAAATGGCTTTGTCATGTTTTCATTATGACTGTTTACTCTGTACATTTTTTCCCAATGCAAAAAAAGTTAGATTTTGGTGACACTTCCTGAAAATGCTCAAGACAGCACTATATACTATTTGCACAGCCAATTGAAAACTACAGTAAAGTAAGACATCTGAGTACAAGACACTGAATATGTATGTTTCACATTTTTACTGCATTTGCTCTTTGCAATTTTAATTTATTCACAGCATTGAGCAAAAGAATAAATACACCTATATTTACAACAAACATAAACGTCCTTTAGGTAGAGCTGTGCACAACTGTACACAATATTGCAGGACATATCGGAACTGAACCTACAATATACATAGGTCTGTAAATCATTCATCAAATTGCTCAATTTAGAAGAAATATTTAGGAAAATAAAGATTTAAAATTGTTCTGTAAAACTTCCTTGACATATTTTGACAACTAGTTTAATATTTTTGTATGTAATGACTCAAGTAATGAAATGAGGACTATTAGTTTTATATGGAATGACTATTCAGCATTCACAATTTTAGTTAATATTGATTGACATGACATAAGCAGATGATAATGTTATAAACAGCAGAGAGTTGTATGAAAGCAATTGATGCATGTCCAAAAGCATTTGCCATTTGTTGTAAGGAATGAGAAACTGCTACTAAGATGTGCACAGATGACTAATTGTTTTGACAAATGCATTAACTGTTGTGAAATTGTAAATAGTGTTGTGAGAAATGCACTAAAGCACCAGAAAAAAAAACTGAATCTGGATGTTATTCACATGTTGTGGGCCACAGAACATAGACTCAAGCACAATTGCCATTTGTATGAAGCTTAGAGAAACACAAAAATTAAAGTTAGTCTCGGTGTGCACTGATTTAGCACTTGTGAACCTTACCCGAGGCGCTCTAAAGTGGTGGTCAGGTGCACAGTGTACAAAAACTCCACGGTTTACTGAAGATATGATCTTAATTCCACCAAATGATTGAAATGCTGCACGTATGAATTTATAAATCACGTGTAAATTGTTCAAACAGTGTATTTATTATCACTGGCTTCTTTGACATTTGTCATTTTTTTGACAACATACTGTAAACGACACACTGTTAGCAGATCTGGTCTCTAATTTAAATATGTAATTGTGAATCATGTTAAAAATGCAAGTTACTGTTTAGATTTCAAGGGGGATACCGGGGATAGTTGTGACACTTCCAATCTCTAGAACCAGGAACAGGTTACAAATCAGTTGTTTCGCTTCACACATGCTCATTAGTTCTCATATCACATATAAAAGTCCTGTGACAGACACAGCAGATATTAGACAGCAAAAATTACATTTAAGCTAAGAAAGTAAAACTTTTTACTTTATTTTTGAGATGAGTTTAACTACAAATCAGGTATTGCCATGTGAATTGTGTGTCTGTGTGTGGATGTATTTAATCTACATTGCTGGTGATAATGTTTTAGCTGAGAACGGATTAATGACTACATGACGCTGGGTCAGTTGTAAGAACAAAACTCTTGCGAGTAACATCAGTGAAATGTTACCTCCAACCCCAAGCAGATTTAAAACTGTATTTATATTATTTAATTTATTTTAGTATTCCTACAGTTCTTTAAAGAGAAAGAAGTCAAAATGTCTGACCTCTGTGGGCTCATGAAGCCTGGACACACAAATAGGGCCCTATCATACACCCGGCGCAGTGTGGCGCAAGGCGCGGCAATAGTCTTTTGGTAGTTTCAGCTTGGCGCAAGAGTCGTTTTGAGGCGTTGCGCTACGCTGTTTAAATAGCAAATGCATTAGCACTCATTTGTGCGCCCTTAGGCGTTCTGGTCTAAAAAGGAAGGCGTTCTGAGGCGGTCCACTGGCGCATTGCTATTTTGAGAAACTATAATAGATTTTTCATTAGACCAAAACTAACCCGGTCTAAACTCCAGCGCAGAGTTGCGCCTCGCTTACGCACTGCTTAATACGCACAAGAGAGCACTAGGCAAATATCTTTACATATGAAAAAATTTAAATAATAAGGATATATATAGGATATAATAAGAACAGATATAGAATATAAATATAAAGGATTAAAATATTACAAAACATATTATTTTCTAGCCTACATAAATATGAAAAATCACTGCTTTTATGTCTTCTTCATCTCGGGAGGCTTTTTCAGTTCATTCATAACAATTTGCTTTTGTATAATGTTATTAATATTAGCAGTATTATTTATTATATCCATATTTATATTTGTTTTATTAAAAACAAGCTTAGACTTGCCCACCTGTCAGGTTTTAGACCATATGGGGCACAGCATGTGTTTTAGGATATAACTCAGGTTTTTGAGCACATTTTGTTATTATTGTTCATTTATTCGTTTGCTGGAAATCAGAACTGAATTTAGAAATAGTTTTGAAACTAATATTTGCGCTTAACAAACTAAATCATTTATATATAGACTAATTGATGTCTGTGCGTAAAGGTTTTCCTATCCAAGAGTGAATGTGAAAGTAGTTCCATTATCTCTCATTCTCACGCAGTAGATGCTCTGTTTAACAGTTTTCTGTTAAAAAAAAACTGTTAACTTTTTGCTTGTGAAATGCTCAGTTTTTCCACTTAGACTTACTTAGCGTCCTGTAAATAGCGAATGCGCTCTTGGCGTGACGCAGCTGGCTCTTAAAGTTAATGGGAGATGAGACTCTAATTGGTTTATTCTCAAAACACACC